ATGGCCGACCATGCGTGGCAGCGCGCGCACACGCGACCAATGCATGACGCCAAGCGCCCGAGAGCGGTGATCGTGGCCACACGGGCAACCAGCCCGAGACAAGTACGTGCACGAACTTTAAAGCGCTCAACATGACCAAACGGTTGCTTTAGGACCTAAACCATCTTCACCATGCTCAAGATAGCACATGAGACTACCAAACCAAGCTATAACACTACACCACTCCTTAACCCAATCTCTCACAATAAATTACTAAATATAGCAATGTCTAGCTGTCGGTAGACTTAAAAATTTCTAAGTTTTTGAGCTGGATTTGTTTTCAAGTTCCATTTCTAGACTATTAGAAATACCAGCTAGTAACATTATTTTTTGACCGCAAGTATTTCATTGTCATCTACATAGTTTGTACTTCAAACTTTATTTAAGTATCACATACATGTTCTATAGCATTTTTGCTTAATAAAAATTGGTTTTAAACCCTAAGTGATATAACATGACTATCGAATCAACTTTCGTTTTGCATTTTTGTTGATCGTTTTGAGTTATGGAAATTGATCTACACACTTTATTACATGCATTAACACATAAACATGATGCTCATGACATGTTTTAGTAGATGATTTATGATGTAACACCGAGGGTGTTACAGGCAGGCAGTAAGAGCCCAACGGCTCTATTTCGTGGGGGTTCTATTTAAGCCCCATGGCTAGCTCTACCTCAATATCTTAGCCATTTTTATTAACATAGCAACCTAGTGAGCTAAGCCAAAGCCCTTCCACTCATCTCCATCTTTGATTCATCTTCTTTGTGAGATTGGGAGTGAATCCAAATGCATTGCTTGAGTGATTACATCTAGAGGCACTTGGTGATTGTGTTTTACTACGGGATTCGCTTGTTTCTCTTGGTGGTTGCCGCCACCTAGATGGCTTGGTGCAGTGAGGATCATTGAGCGAAGGAAGGTGATTGTCTCTGGCTCTGATAGTGGTGATTGTGAGGGGTTCTTGACCTTTCCCCAGCGGAGAGCCAAAAGGTACTCTAGTGGATTGCTCGTAGCTTGTAGATCTCCATCTTGTTTTAGTTGTGCGGCACCAGATTACGGGTTAGGCGTGTGATGCCTATTAGCGCGTGAACCTCCAAGTGGGTGAATCGCTGCAACGAAGATGTAGCTTGCCGGCAAGCAAGTGAACCTCGGTGAAAAATTTTGTGTCATCATTGTCTCTGAGAATTTTATTGGTATTCATTGTGATTGATTGATCATCTCTTGCTACGGTGGTATAAACATCACTACCTCTCTTGTATTTACATTTCTAGTGTAGTTAATCTCTTTAGTGTAATTAGTTTTGAGAGCTAGCTTGTGTCGTGTCTAGTGGTTAGTAAGGCTCTTTAGTTAGTTTTTGAGAGCTCACTAACTTAGAGAGTAGTGACTTGGCCTCTTGTGTGAATTAGAGATCATAGCAATTAGAATTGTGGATAGGAGGCTTTCATTTTTAGGAGGCTAGCGCAATACTCGCTTCGCCGTTTAATTGTCTAACCACTTGACTTAAGTGTTATTGTAGTAATTTTTAATATGCTATTCACCCCCTCTAGCCATTAGAACCGTTCACAAGTGTGGCGCCCCGGGGGTGGATCCCTAGTCTCCATGGCTGGATCTGGTCTCCTATGCTTGTCCCGGCCAACCAAGTCTTCTCGGTGCTAGCGCTCCTGTCAATGTTGTTCACCTACTCCTCTAGGAGTTCCTCACCTCGCTGTGGCCGTCGGTGGCCTGCTAGTCTTGGTGACCACCAAGAACTACTCCCCTATGACGTCCACACGCCGAGGCGGGTCCTCATCGATCTTTACTCGGTGGATGGCCGATTCCACGCGGAAGTCGACCGAATCTGCGTGCCGCTGGCCGAATTCACCAGGATCTGGTGGTGGGCGGCCCGAAGCTCCATGCTTATGTCTGTGTGTGTGTTTATCGCCTGTCTTCGTAATGGTTGGTCCTACCGTAATGTTGTTTGGATCGTCCTGGCGAATGCTTTGCCATCGTTCAGCTTTTGTGGTAGATGCTTTGCTGCTACTGTGTCTCTCCCAGCGGATACTTGCTAATCATTGGTCTTTTCCCTGGCAGATGCTTTGCTTCTAGTGTCCCTTAAGTCTCCACGAATGCTTTGCTGCCGAGATCGTGTCCCTGTGGCGGATGCTTTTGCCGTCGTGGTTGTTTGGGGCTCCTCTCCAGTTGATGCTTTGGCACTAATGTTTGTGGATGTCTATATGGATTCCTTTGGGTGGATGCTTTGCCACCACAGGTTTATTTTCTCTATAGACAACTGTTGTGTTGGTGTCTTTATTTTTCTCAGGCTCATCAGTCTGCTTGTTGGGCGTCATGGCTGAGGGTCCCCTCCCTTGCTTTTTCTTGTTGTTCTATGTGTCTAGTGGTAATCCTTAAATTGCCATTGGCTCAACTTGTGTAGTCCTTAATGAAATATGTGTCCAAGGACATGGTCGCGAAAGGTGGAAAGGCAAGTTGGCAAGTGTGTATCCTTTGTTTTTTGGGCTTATATTACTGGAGGGGTCTTGTGAAGGATCGATCAGGAATAAAAAAAAACTTGTGATGAACTGGATCTTTGTTGTAAAGCTATTAACGGAATTTGAGGTATTCTTTGATTTTGCAATTAGTTGGCATCATGGAAATCTTCACAGCCGGGCGTTTGAGTTGAACTTTTTAATCGTTATTTGTCAGAAGTTGATATGTATATATACGGCATGCGTCCAGTAGCTGCATCCGTGGCTAATGTACAGTTCTTGTCTTATTCACTTTTCTTCTGCCACATAAATAAAGCGAACTTTTGCGGACAGAATCTGTGTGTGTGTGTGTGTGGGGGGGGGGGGGGGGTGTGTGTGCATCCTGCAACTTGTGTTTTGCTTGGCTGCACTGAAAACGCAATAACCGTTTGGACTTTAACGTTCTAATTATCTACTCCCTGCGTTCCACATTAAATCTTTCAGCGGAACGTCCGACGTGCGGACACGTCTGGATGCCCACGCCCACCTCACCTGCTGCACCCGTCCTGCCCACTCTGCCTTTTCCAAAAAAAAAGAGGCCTGCCCCACATGCAACTCTGTGTACGTTTCGCATGCAATTGTTGCGCCTGCAAACCCGCCCATGCATACTAGTGCGTCTACGCATGTAGTTGTGTGCCTCGTGCCCGGTGATGCCCACCTCGTGCCTATTGATGCTCGCCTCATGTCTGTTCATGTGCATGCAGGTGGAGACCGCTACGCACGTGGGGACCGCATCTGCATGTGCCCACTTCCTACGCCTACTAGCCTACTAATGTTGCAACATTAAAGCACTTTGTACAACATACGTCTGAAATAGGTAAAATATTTATATACATTTGCAACATATGTGTATAGCAACTACAACATCTAGATAAAACACATTTGCAATATACGTCTGAAATAGATGAAACAATTTAAATAGACGCTTACAACATATATCTGAAACATATGCAACATTGCAACATATACAACATCCAGATAAAACGCTTGCAACATAGGTCTGAAACAAGTGAAACATTTAGAGCATAAACTTGCAACATACATGTATAGGCACTGCAACATATGCAATATCCCAGATAAAACACTTAGAACATACGTTGGAAACCACTGCAATATTTAAAACATACACTTGCAACATACGTGTAAAGCAATTGCAACATATGCACACCATATCTGCTTTTGTAATATCCAGATGAAACATATGCAACATACATCTAAAACGTATGAAACATACGGTTGCAACATATGCTCATCCACTCGTCGTCGTCTAATGGAGGCTAGTTGACGCGGCGTGGGGGAGCGCAGCGCGAGGCACGGGTGGGGGTGTGAGGTGCGAGGCGCAGACGGCGCAAGGCACGGGTGGTGGGTGGTAAGTCTTGGCACAATACACTGGCGTGAGGCGGTCTCAAATGCGACCGTCTGCGAGGCAAGAGGTGCAGGGGCGCACGACATGAGGCGGGAAAGCATAGGGGGCGCGAGGTGCGGGACGCACGCAGCGCGAGGCGGTCCGTGCGACCGTGCGAGGCGTGATACGAAAGTGTGAGTCGTGAGGTACAGGGACACGCGCGAGACGGGTCCGTCCCGTCCAGATGCATGAACGTTCTGATAGGAGCATTACCTATCTTTTAGAGGTGTTCTAAGCCAAACTATTAAATTAACTTGTAGCTTAATGCATCTCCAAACCATGTCTGAGACTTCAGGATTTATGCCCGACAATTAGAATGCAGGTTTTCTGGTTTCCTTGCGGCAAATTGGAAGCACATTCATATGGCTTCTCTCGCCTGGACTTTTAGGTAGCCCAGAGAAGAAATTCCTCTAAATTCAACAAAAAAGAAACAGCAAAACTGGGCCATACAACGACAGTAGCAACATCTGTTATAATAATAAAAAAATGACCGAGCATCGAGCCCACAACTACACAGCCCAAACCACCGGTAGATCAATTCAGCCCAGAGACATGAAACCTCCTTTTACAGAACGGATAGCGGCTGTTGAGGGGGCTTGGGCTGTTTTAGGAGTCTGGCCCGATTGCGTGCCGGTTTCCGGTTGAAGAACCGATTTACAGGGCTTTATCTTGTCTTGATGTACTAGAGGGCAGCAAATCGGCACTCACAAGAATGATGATGAAACTCCCCAAAAAAAAAAAAAAAAAGAATGATGATGAAACTCCCTCAAAAAAAAAAAGAATGATGATGAAACACATAAAATGCCTAGAGAGGAATCCTGTGGCATCGTTCTTACAGTAATAGTCATACATTAAGGATCAACTGTTACGAAATTCCGAGTACAAAATATTGAAAATGTCAGGATAATAAGCTGTATCAAACGGCAAGCCACCTCCCAGGTGTTCAAATCCTGATGGCGAATTCACTGCCACACAATAGAGCTCCAAAAGTTTACAGCTCTGACTCTAAACTAGTTCTTGGCGCCTCAAAACTGTGGACTATGCTATCCTCTCACCGAGTTGACTGTTGCGCTGCTTGAGCTGGCTCCACGATGTTCTTTGCGAGCATGTAGGTTCGCATGTTGAGGCCCTTCATGCTCTCGATAATCTGCTCATGTCTGCATAAAGATGTATCCCGCCGTAAATACATTGTACAAATAAAGAAGATAATTCTATTCCCACTACAGAATGATTATTATTCAACTAGATTGCATTGTCCAAGTAGTAACAAGTGTAAAGAAATAATCAATGCATGCATGGACAAAGGAACTTACACATTGACGTGGTTGGTCGTCATGATAAGAGTTCCTGACACTGAATCAATCCTGGCATCCAGTTTTGAGCTCCTAACCAAGTTCATTATCCACAACTCAGCCTCATCGTAGCTCATGTTCAGCTTCTGAGAAAGCATGCTGTCCATTGAAGTAACATCAGAGCAACACATTAGATATGCTAACAACCAAGTTCCCATATGGTCCATAAAATATTGGGTACAAACCAACATGTGCTATTAAAATAGAAATATTAGTGGAGAACTTCAACCCTGAGAATGCTACATTCGAGCAGAATTAACAGGTTTAGAAAACAAAATGAATGATTGATAGTTCCTAAATTGCGCAGACAAAACACAATGTTAATTACTATATCCCATAGGACATTACATTATTGCAGTTAACAAGATATGAAATCATCTAGCTATATATACTACACAAAGTAGCAACAGAATAGGTAAGAGTGACAAATAGTTTGTAACTGGAAAGCAAATTAGAGATCTAAAAACATATCGATACTTATCAATCCTCCTCCCACTAAACTTGCTGAAGAGAAATCCTGCCATCCATTATAATGAGTAGAGTCATAAACACCCACCTGATATCAATGCACCGATGGATACGGCAGTATGTCTCGAAAATAAACAGACGAGCATTTTCAAGGAACTCGTCTCTCAAAGGAACAGTGACAAAATTTCCCTCTTCAATGCACTTGCCCAGGAAAGGATCATTCAGTATAACCTAGAAAAATAGACGTTAGAAGATGATGCACATTAACAAGTCTTATAGTAGATCACAATTATTATTGCTAATTGTTGGGATGGTAATTCACTAATGCTATTGTCACAGCAAAGCAGAACATGGAATTACATTCAAGCATGTTTTAAGCCCAAAACACCCTAGCTCGTTTAAACACCCCTCCAAATAGGCCATATTATTATACAGATTCTGCAAGATGACATCCCTGATGCATATGATACATCCAAGAAATAGGGAAACTTTGGATCATCAAGAATAAACCATTTTACTAGGGCAACATTTAAAAGAATACAAGATTGAGGATCATTTTACAAAAGGATGTTTTGCAAAAAAAAAAAAAAAAAAAAAAAAAGGTTTCATTGTCTTTCAAGCTTTTCCATATTTCAAGCACACACACATGTGAAGAACAAATTTCAGGCCTTGAAGATGCAGAAAAACAGCCTCGAAGTTACCTGCTCACACTCCATGAGTTTTTGTTGAGCACCATCAAAATCATAGTTGACATATAAGCATTCCAGAAATTCAGTTATGGGATCCTTGTAGCTATGCTGCTCCTGCTGAATGACCATAATCAACTCTTTAAGCATATTCCTTCTCCTTTTGTTCACAACAACTGCAGTAGCTAGGTATCTAAGAAGATGGTTGGAATTTGTCTGTATAGCATTCAAGTACCTGCAAGGAAACAAATGAGTATGCAAATTTACTTGTATATTCTGAGCATATATAACCTTAACATGAAACCAAAAACATTTTTTGAAACAATAAAAATAGTAGCGACATCAAACTGGATTACACAGTTACAAAAGAAATGAATTTGAATCAAGTTCAAATGTCTCAAAAAAAAACAGAAATATGGAAATGTGGAAGAATGTTTTAATATCTTGAAAACTGTTGACAATAAGTTGCTGCTTCCTAACTACAATTGCCAGAATGCTACAAATTGTAATTTCGTGTCAGGATATGACTTAATATTGAGATTTTAACAGACGAACCTGTCCTGGAAGAACAGATCAATGATACCATTTCTACCATTTTCATGGTTAAAGAAGATGAACAGAGCCCAATGCATCAGCCATATCCTGTTCTGGAGCTGATTCAGAGGTGATGAGAAGTTCTGCCAAAAGATCAGGAAGCAACAAGGTTATTATTAGTAATACAATGTGCACAAAGAACAAAGAACACAGTACGAAACATTGAGGGTACAACCTTTGAATCAATTATTTCCTTCAAGCGGTTGAGTTCCTCAAAGCCACACCCCAGTTCTGCATTAAGATTTCGCTGCCAGCTTTCCCCAGAGGGCACTCACACTGGCTCACTGTTTGTGCACAAAGCACGATACTGGTACAGGTAATCAGCAGCCCCTGAGTAGTTACCACACTCGAACTGAAATTTGGCATACTGATACAGAGCTTCAATCTGGTCAGGACCAATCTGCATTGTTAAACAAGGATTGGTCAGTGTATTGGTGTTTAGCTCAGAACAGACTACACAACAATAAAAGGGCACAGCTTCAACGTTTCATCTGAATTTTGATCTTAGTTATTATGCCTTGTGCTTTCTCCACAGTGCCTTTTTATCCTGAAGAGAAAACTCGACTCTGAATTGTCCCTTACTGAAGAGTTGAAAGAACATAGACCTGAACTAGCATCAATTATCAAGCACTTTGACTAAAAGATACAAGGGAACCAACTATACTACTAGGAAGAACTACACATGTCTAGATTTTAGGACACCTATACATATAACATACTGAATTATGCATACTACAAAATAAAACACATCTCACAATCTACTTATCTGATCCATAATACAGGAGCAAAAGTCAGCATTCAACTAATTCAAGATTCCTCACAAAATAGCGCAGAACTAGAACTAAATCATCATATGCTAATTATATGTAACCACATGTAGCAGCAGTAAATCATGTAGCCCGGAAGATTGCTTCACTGTATGAGCAAACCAGTTTCAGGCTGTTTAATGACACACAAACTCCTAATTTCACAACCACATCTGACGACGCTCCAAAACACGGAATTACACCAATACAACTAAATGAAAACGAGGCAGAAGCAGAGGGGGGAGAAAAACGGACCTGGTACCGCTCCTGGAGCATGTGGATGTTGTACTGTTTGTCGGGCCTGAGCTCCTGCACGAGCTGCGGGTTCTGGAGGAAGGCGACGAGCGGGGCGGCGGCCTCCTCGAGCGACCTGAGCCTGGAGACGACCTCGGCGCGGCGCTTGACCATGTCCTCGGGGACGTCGTCGGTGCCGTGGAGGGACTTGTGGATGTCCATGGCATAGTCGACCATGTTGGTGCCGCTGAGGAGGCGGATCTTGGCCTCCAGGAACTCGGGCTCCGAGTAGAGCTGCCGCTCCTGGAGGAACTCCAGCAGCGGGAACACCAGGTGCCGGTCCAGCTGCGCCGCCATCAGCGCCGTGAGGTCGTGCTCCGCCATGGCTGGTGCTCCGAGCTCTCTCCTAGCTGCCTCCCAGAGGCGGCTAGGGTTAGGGTTCCTTTCGGGTTCGAGGGGGGGCGGCGGCGCGGCGGCGCGGGGAGGAAGGAAGCGGAGAAGGGTTGGGGTTGGGTTTTGGTGGTTTTGTGGTTCGGCTGCCGATCGATGTCGTCCCCCGTTTAAACGGACGGCCAGACGAGGACTCTTCTTTTGGACCTTTTTTTTTTTTTTTTTTTTTAGAAATTAGAGCTGGCTTGGTGGCTTGTTCTACAAGTAGTTGGATTCAACTTATCTTTTTCCTTTACTAGTTAACAACTTAACATGCACGTGCGACTCGCAAGTGCGTATAAGACATTTGTATATTTTTATTTGCTATTTTCTAGCTTGCTTGTCATCTTATCCTAGTATTTCTATGTTTATTTGAAACCAACATTTTTTATGCTTGTATCCAAAAATTTTGTTGTATATAAATTCATTTGTTTTTTTTTATTTTTTGTTTCAATATATGGGATTTTTTTAAGCATTTGTATTTGTATCCAATTTATTTTTGTTTTGATGAGTTCTTTTTCTTTTTTTACTTTCATAATTTTAAATCCCTCGTTAGTTTTGTTTAGCAACTTTGTACATGTATATATATATTCTATTTTCTTCGATTTTCTAATTCTAATTGGACCAAAAGCGCATGGACCCACCGGTAGCAGCGAGCAGGCTAACCTGGCCAAGGCCCAAGCTTCCATAATTGCTCCCGGCATCCAATTTATCTACAGCGGCGCATCCCAATTCAGCCCCCCTTTGGCAGGGCTCATCGAGCGGCTCATGGTGAAGCCCTGCCAAACGCTATAACTCAAAATGGCTCATGAGGAAAAGCCAGGAGAAGCCCCACCTTTTCCGCTCTCTAGGTTCTTCCGCCGATGAGAAGCCAAAAATAGTAGCTTATACCGGCTCATTCCTCCACCCAAAATACTAAAGTATGCATGTGCCCTTGCTATTTCACAGAACTTACAACATTTGCCATCAGCAAGCTCACATGAGCCTCAGAAGCGTGGAGGCGGCGGTGGGGGGGTGGTGGGCGGATGGATGCCATGGCGGGCGCGCGCAGTCAGAGCCCACGACCGGGTCAAGCTCAGCAGCCAAAAGGAGCGAGGCCACTGACCATTGCGGAGCTTGATCTGAGCGAAGTGAGGCGGACTCCATGGCGGAGCTCACAATGGTGGAGCACCCGGCCGGTGGTGGCGTAGCAGAGACCCCGATGCGCCCAATGAGAGCACAGAGGTGGGGCACAGGTGGTGCCCTGACGCCGCCCAAGAGAGAAAGAAGGAAAGAAAGGCCGATTGGATAAGGAGAGAGGAGGGAAAAGAAGGGAAGGCCGATCGGATAAGGAGAGAGAAGGGAAAAGGAAAGAAAATGAAAAGAAAAATGAAGAGAAAAAAGAAAAAAAGAAAAAGAAAAAAAGAAATATAAGGGTATCTTGGACATTTGACATCTTCTTTCCAATCTGAAAAGCCGAAAAAGCCGTTTTACCAAACATTTTGCACAAAATAAGCCGAGCAGAGAAAAAACTATTTTCCATACGAGGCAGAGATGCAGCTGTTTTTTTTCACGAGCCAAAGCCGTGCCAAACGGGCCCTCAATGTCTTCCCCATTTCTCTCAGCTCCTCTCCGTACTCCGCCCCAGACTCCAATCCTCCAACCCGCCATGGTTCCTTGCAGTAAATGTTGGGGAAGAATGTGAGCCATGCAGAGCACCGCCGTTGGGGCTAGCCACGCCACGCCTGTGGCTGGCCGCCGGGAAGAAGTTTGTCGGGCAGAGCACCTCCGGCGGGATGGCCGCCGGAGCTAGTAGATCCGCCCGCCGGACGCCGGGCAGGGCTGCGCTGGGTCTGGCCGCTGATGCTCGCTGGCCACCGGGGTGGTCGCGCCGTCGGCAAAGGTTGCCATTCTTTGGTCGCGCCATCCGGAGGCCGCGGAGGCAGGCACTCCTTCTCGGCCGCGAGGCGACAAGGGCACCTTCGGCTCCTACTCGGCGAGTCCGGTGGTGGCTCCAGCAGCTCGCGTCTCCTTGCTGCGCTCTATTTCATGGTAAGTTCAGTCGCTCAGACTCATTGACTGTCGTAATCTTCCTCATCATCATCGATAAGCGGTACCAGGGATGGAGAAAGATTTAGTATCTCACGCTGACAGTTGGCATACTGCATTATACTTTCCTTTGTTACTTAGATGATTAGCATCCAAACTCTAGTACTTATATATTTTTAGTTATCATTTGCATCGTTCTTCAAAGTTGAAAATTGTAGTCCACCACCAATATGTTGTAGGTATTCTTTTTTAGTGTTTGCAAAATATTTTTGTAGTGCCGTTGAATAAAAAAAATACTATTGTAGTTATCTGAGTTTAGATGACACAATAGCATTAAGCAATAGTTGGTACACTAAATATCATAAGAGACCATTCAGTTCCAGCAAATATAGAAGGGCTTCTGAAATATCTGTAAAAATGCTTTTCCTTTCCAAACTTCGTAAGCAAATTAGCTTTCTAAAATAAGAATTGTAGTGGTGGATCTACAATTTTCAAAAAAAATGGAAGAAGCTATCATAGCAGGATCTGAGTGAACACTCTGAACATCTCATTACTGCAGAAAATAGCAATGATAATGTAGTTCAGTCCAGTTACTGATTAACTACTTTCTTGTCACCCTGACTACAAAACTTTGATTCATTATTGACAATGTTAAACGATGGTTTGTTTAATGTAATGTGTTCCCGTATATGCCAGCTATTCAACAAAAGAATGGATTTCCTGTTCCTGGTAGGAAAATTAGAGTTAAGCTAGAAATGAATCAGTGTTCCAATGAAGGAACGTTTGCAAAAGGAGAATAGTGAGGCTCCTCTCCTAACAGTTTGCTGCTGCTGAAACTCAGTAGATTGTGGATCTGAGTGTCATTTGTTTTATTTGCTTGTGAGCAGTGCAATGCAAGTGAAGGACTCCAATTTAAAAGATGAGGCAAACGAGACTTCTCCTGCTGGAAAGCATAAGAGGAAATCACATAAAACAGATCCAGGTTGTAATTCTTTGTTTTGTTTAATGTTTTTGCCATGGTTAATATTTTCCAATACTGAAGCAAGATGCTATGTTGAACCAGAGCAACCACATTTGTTGTCAAAGGATGCTATGGTATCAAAGGAAGCTCCCATTGGCGACCCCGAAAAGGTGAAAAAAATCTGAAAAGCAAAGGTGTGGACTGCAATATTTTACTTCAGAAGTCATCACCTAAATCTAACTTGTCATTTTTTTGTAGTAACATTATTTTTAATCGAACCTGGTTGCTTCAACTCCGCCTATGTTGTCTCAACATAGCAGGTCCCAAGCCCTGATCAAGGAGGAGGGTTGTGATAGGCGTGGCGAGCCAACGTTAAATCTAGTCATTCTAATGGAGATGAAACCCGAAAGAAAACCGTTGGGGCATAACCCTCTTAGCGACGCGCTATATCGGAACCCGGGTATGGTGTTAAATGAGCAAGGGCCGGGTCGTCACCCCCGTGACGCGCCGTGTCGCGATCTGGGCACGGTGTCAAGTGAGCAAGGATCGAGTCGTCGCATCCTTAGTGGTGCGCTACATCGACGTCCGGGTGTAGTGAAAAATGAGCAAGGGTCTTCACATCTGAGTCGACGGGTGCGAAGGGTAAGGAAGCTAGTCGAACCAACTAAAATCCATTTAGGTAGTTGGAATATAGGGTCGCTTACAGGTAAGTTAAGAGAATTAGTTGATACCGCGACTAGGAGGCGTGTAAATATATTATGCGTTCAAGAAACTAAATGGAAGGGTCAGAAGGCGAAGGAGGTGGACAATACAGGTTTCAAGCTTTGGTACACAGGGACAGTCGCGAATAGAAATGGAGTAGGAGTTTTGATTGATAAGAGCCTCAAGAATAGTGTGGTGGGAGTGAGAAGGCAAGGAGATAGGATTATCTTAGTTAAGCTTGTCATTGGTAATATGGTCTTGAACGTAATTAGTGCGTATGCCCCCCCCCCAGTAGGCCTCGACGAGAGTGCTAAGAGACAGTTCTAGGACGACTTAGATGGCCTGGTTAGAGCTGTACCTAGTAGTGAGAAGCTTTTTATAGGAGGAGATCTTAATAGGCATGTAGGTACTACAAGCGCAGGTTTCGAGGCAGTTTATGGAGGTTTCGGGTATGGTAGTAGGAATCAGGAGGGGGAGAAAGTTCTGGACTTTGCGGTAGCTTTTGACCTGATGATAGCCAACACTTTCTTTAGAAAGAGAATCTCATCTAGTGACCTTCAGAAGCAGACAACACTCTAGTCAGATTAACTTTGTCCTCGCAAGAAGAAAGGACAAACGAGCATGCTTGGATTGCAAGGTGATACCAGGGGAGTGTGTTGTTTCTCAACATAAGCTTTTGGTGACAGACTTTTGTTTTCAGGTGCGTGTCCGTAGGGATAAAGAAGCTAAGATTGGAAGAACAAAGTGGTGGAAACTGAAAAGAGAGACGTCAGAGATATTCAGGGAAAGGGTTATCAAAGAGGGCTCTTGGAAGGAAGAAGAGGACATAAACAACATGTGGGAGAAGATGGCAACCAACATTCAGAAGGTGGCCTCAGAGGTGTGTGGAGTAACCAAAGGAAGTGGAGGCAAGGCTACAGATACTTGGTGGTGGAACGAGGAAGTCCAAAGGGCTATTAAGGAGAAGAAAGAATGCTATAGACGCTTGTACCATGACAGGAGTCTGGACAACATAGAGAAGTATAGGGTGGCAAAGAAGACTGCAAAGCGAGCTGTAAGTGTGGCAAAGGGTAGAGCGTACGAGGATCTTTATCAACATTTGGGTACAAAGGAAGAAGAGAAGGATATTTATAGGATGGCTAGGGTTCATGAGAGAAAGACAAGGGACTTCAACCAAGTTAAGTGCATTAAGAATGAAAGGGAGCATCTCTTGGTGAAGGAGAATGAGATCCGACATCGATGGCAAGAGTATTTTGAAATTATT